TTGAGATGTAACCCTGTAGTAAAGTACATAAACTGAAGAAGTAACAGCAGGGCAGACAAAAGTGAAAACAGAAAATGAATTTCTATTTCCTTTGGCAAAGTAGCATGGCCTATCAATAGCGTGAGATTAGGCTCCCCCCCCCCAAAAAAAAAAATCACTGGTAAGAGGTGAGCATTTAGATGCTTAGTGAAAATCTCCTCCTTCCAGGTTCTCTCAGACCCTGTCCCAACTTGCCCCAACTCGAATTTCTGATTCTATCATTCCCTTCAATTCGGTAGCTCTCCACAATTATTCAACCAAACTGAAACCAGACCCTTCATTGTGGCAACAAGCGACTTTACCATTCAGAATCCTCAGGATTTCCCCACCCTCACTTAGTCTTCCAAGAAAACCAGCACTTTCCTGAATATTCTTCCCTCTATTCACTAGGTCTTTGGGAAAGTCATGATGTATTTTTCTATGCAAAAATGTGTCATGACTTTCCTGACAACCCAAAAGACTTCCTCCTCACCAAATCTCTTACTGTTTCTACCTACCAAAGTCCTAGCCTTCAAACTCCACCTCAATCACTAACTCCTAGAACAATGACAAGGATATGATTTCCCCAGAAGTGGTATCTTCTGCATCAAACTTCCTTTCTGGCCTTAAAAAACACATTTAATTTTAACTATTTGTGTTCTTGTTTTATTTCAATTCCATACTATAGGTTGTATGGCTGAAAAACAGACTTATTTATTTATTACCTCTTCTAGTATAATATTGAGGAGCTGCTCAATATTCATGTTCATTCATTATACAGAAGACTCAAGTAGATCTTCTATGTGGCTGAGGAGAAAAATCCGAGATGGCACAAAGGTTTACCTAGGAAGGTCTAGGCACTAAAATGTTGTTATTAGAAGAAAATCATAACAATAATAAACTAGCATTGGTGACAATGTTCAGTCTCTAGCTCTGTACCTAACGTGGTATGAACCTCAGAGAAGTCATTTGACCTCTCTGGGACTCAGTTTCCTCATCTGCAAAATGCGAGAATATCATCTACCTCAAGAGTTGGTGGGAAAAACTGAATTAATATACACAAATACACTTAACAAAGCCTGGTACCTAGTAAGGGTTCAATGTTAGTTGCCATTATGTTTATCATTATTTCTCCAATAACCGATTTCTCCAATAAATTCAGAACACAGATTGAACATCCCTAAATCTAAAATCTGAAATGTTCAAAAATCTGAAACTTCATTAGCACCAATAAGACACTATTGGGTCTTACTGGGCCAGGGCCACTCTATTAAGGGAACCAGATCCCACAGTTGGGATGCCAGACCACAGTTCAAATTTCAGCCTCAGTGGCTTGAAATATAAGTGAGCAGGATCTTTCCATGCACACGTGTGTGTGCTCGAATCCCAAAAGGAGAAATGACAAAGAGGGGATGACAGCATGACCATGCCCCACTAGAGGGAAACTTTCTCGCTCTTTTTCTGTCTCTCTCAGGTAAGCACATCTGCCTTCTGTTAAAAATAAAAACAAAACCCACAATAAAAAAACACCGCATAAAATTACCCTCAGATTGTATGTGTAAAATAGATGAAACAAATGAATTTCATGTTTAGATTTGGATCCCATCTCCAAGATGTCCCATTACATATATACGAATATTCCAAAATCCAAAATACTTCTGGTCCCAAGCATTTCTGATAATGGATACTCAAAGTGTCATCTCTTTTAACTCCTAGATTTCATACCTAAGTGCCACATGGCACCAAACGTGTCAAAGATAACAAGAGAAGGAAAGCTTTACAAGAACGCTAGAACCCAAGTTAGGCACAGAAAGATACAAGTTGGGAACATGTGAAAAGGAAAAGGACACCAGGGAGGAAAGAGAAATAGCAAAGGCTAGGACGTAAGAATATGCACAGAACACAGGGATAACAATTTGGCTAGTGCTTGTATTTTGGGCAACAGCAAAAAGGAAGGTATGATCTAAATGACTATAAAAATAGTGGACTAGGGACCAGCAGTTAGTGTAATGGCTATGTCACTGGACTCCCATGTAGTCGACCGCAGTTCGAGTCCTGGACCCAGTGGCTTAAACCATGCTGGGCACGTGTGCCTGCATGCCCAAGATCCCAAGAGGAGAATGGAGAAGAGATTGCGGCAAGGTCATCCCCCTTGGGGGGTGATTTCTCGCTTTCTGTCTCTCTCAGCCTTTCTGGCGAGGGCAATGTGCCCTATAGAAAAAAAACTCTAAAAAAAAAAAAAAAATAGTGGACTAGGTCCCGACTGGATCGTGCAGAGCCACCACTTGGGAGACTAAAAGCTGTATCAGAAGCCTGCGTTCAGTTCCTGAGTCCACCTGAACACACTGGGCAAAGCTGCATGTACCTGCAATCCTGACTAATTGGTAGCTCAGACAGGCAGACTGTGCTATGGAGAGACCCTGTCAAAAGATAACTGTTTCTCAGGGCCGGCAGGTGGCATGTTGGTCAAGGGTGCTGGACTCCCATATGATCAACCATGGTTCAAGCCCCAGACCTGGCGGCTTGCTTCTCACTTTCTCTATCCCTCTTTGGTCAAATATAAATGAATAAAGTTAAATAAAAAAATTCTTAAAAATTAAAAGAAAAAAAAAAAACTGTTTCTCTCCCTCTATTCTCCTACTCCAGTAAAAGGGATAAAGGAAAAATAAACAACAGACTAAAAACAATTGATTATACAAACCATGTTACTCCATCACTTGTGTTTTTGGAAAGGCAAGAAAGTTCTCAGGACAATGATTAGCTAATAATCTGCCTTGACATCTCACACACGACATACCTGTCAATTGTTTAATAAGAAGCTATGTAATATTCAAGAATTTCATCATATTCTAATCTAAGTAATTGCTGGGTTGCCAGCAATAGTTATTTTAGAAGTATTCCTTTTCTTTTACTAGCTTAAAGAAACTAAGAGCTGATTATATGACTATCAACGTGATAAAACACAAATTAAAGAACAGTACTCCTCCATAAATTAAGTTCAATTATTAAAATACAAAGCAAATCTTACCACTCCTCTGCTCAGAACCCTCAAATGAGTTCTATCTCAGGTAAACTAAAGGTGAAATTCTCTTAACATCCTTAAAAGGCTCTGGTTGTTCTGCCCACCCCGTTCCTTTTCTTCTTCCCAGACTTTATCTCTTAGTGCTCCCTCCTCTGCTCAGTGCTCCAAGCACATTGATCTTCACACTGTTCCTCTAACAGGTCAGCTTTGTCCTCTTCAAGGCCTTTTATGCTTGTTGTCCCCTTGCTTGGAATGTTCCCCAGACACAAGATTCACTCCCTTACCTCCTCCTAGTCTGCTTAAATACTGGCTTGTCTGTAAGAACTTCCCTGGCCGCTCCACTGCAAACTGGGACACTGTGACATCTCCCCATTCCCTTTCCAGCTTTACTTGTTTTGATAAGGTCATTTTCTAACACAGTATATATTGGTCTCTCTTCCCCTCCCCATCTCTGGAAAGTTAAGTTTCATGACAGCGAGGGGGGTGGGGCACAGACCTATCCCTAAGACCTAGAACACTGGTACCTAACAGACACACATGGTAGGCACTAATACAAATATTACTTGAATGAATGACCAATTAGGCTACACAATGCCCCTTCTAGGTACAGAAAAAATTTCTTCCCACCGCTGAAAGTCTAAAAATTCATTTTTGTTCAAAACACTTACTGCTTCTCTCTTATCTGCGTGCCAGAACTTGGGTTGGCTGTGAAAAGTTTAAGACAATTCCTTCCGTTTAGGAGCCCCTTGTTGTGTATATAGAAACAGACAAAGAAACATAATTTACAAAAAATAATACACACACGGGGACCAGCAGTTAGCGTAATGGCTATGTTGCTGGACTCCCATGTAGTTGACTGCGGTTCGCTTCCTGGAGGCTTAAACCTCACGCTGGGCGCGTGTGCATGTGTGCCCAAGATTCCGAGAGGAGAATGGAGAAGGGATTGCGGCATGGCCACCCCTTCTGGGGGGTGATTTCTCGCTTTCTGTCTCTCTGTCTCTCTCTGTCTTTCTGGCGAGTGCACGCGCCCAATAGCAAAAACCTCTCCAAATAATAATAATAATACACACACGCACCTGGAAAGCTACAGGAAATTGGATGACAGTCTAAAAGATCGCGGGTAAAACGGGTAATGCTCGGTACCGTGCTAAGGAGACCAAAATTCCCCCCAAATTCTCAATTAGTACAATTCCTTCTTGTATTTTTGGTGCATATGCTTGCAACTCCACATAAATCATTCACTCACAGATAGGTTCTCAAGCAGGACGCAAAAAAGTTTTTGTGACTATTAGTGACACTGATCGCCCTAAGACCGCACGAAGATCACCACGTCTTTTACAGTCTTTAGATTTGGCACCTTTGCCTACAGAACCCCCGATGTGGGGGGCTCGCATCTCCCAACAACTGCCTACTTTGGTCAGAATCCTCCCCGAGGCTATTCCTGTCTCAGAGTCGCGCACCCTGTAAATCCCTTCCTTACCCGGGCGGGATCCGACTCCCGAAAGCCACTAACTGGGCCTCGGTTAAGAGTTGCGAGAGAAGCGGGAGCCTGGGAGCACGACACGACTCAGAGGGCTCCCCAGAGGCCTCAGGCCGCACTCTCCGCCCTCCACCCCTGGGCAGCCAGTGCCCCCAGGCTCCACCGACTCTTTGTTAAGCGAGGCCGCGGTTCCTCGGCCCTCGCTAGGCCCCACAGTTGCCTCCAGTGCCCTCAAAGCCTAGCGGCCCGGAGTCCCGACCCTCCTCGCACA